GATGCGGGGGGAACGGCATGCCGCAGAAGAAACGCCCTCTGGTATCTCCCACTTTTGGCCGTCGTCCGTCGAATAAGTGATTAGGGAGAAAACCTTATCATTTTCATCCTTCGCCGTAAGAGGAAACACAAGCGTGCCATTCCCCATCACAATTCCTGAGCCACCACCACCCAAAAATTCCTTTAGGTCACCTTTATTATTAGGAGAGTCAGTTTGGAACAGCGGTTTGGGTTCGCCCCAGTTGATCGGTTGACTCTGCTGAACTTCCGTGGACTGCGTGGCCTCACCCTCAATCACTTTAATGTTCCATGCCTCGGTCTTCCAAGTATCATCAACATTTTCACGCCACTCTTCATAGCTCCCCACTAGCAGAAACACTTTATTGCCCCTTGTAATTCCGGTGGGTAGCTTCGCAACACCCACACGATACTTACTATTCGTACTCTCAAGGACAGTGTGTGCCTTCCAGTTATCTTTGGTTACCTCAGCAACAAGAGACTGCCACGTCTCTGGAGCCTTGATGTACCCGGCAACAATATCAGAAGAACTGAGATCAATCGCTTCTGGAAAATCTGTATGTTTGGTGCGGCCTTCGACAAATGCAATCATCACTCCACCAGCACGGACGAGAGCGGGTGAAGCAAAGATATCCTTCACTTTGCCTTCACCACCACTTTTTGGTACCACCTGCGTCTTATTCGGCAAAAACATGGCGATCTCCTGCGGCAGTTGCAAATCCCCTGACGCTGCCTCATCAGCGGTCGCAGCGCCACTGCCGCAGCACATCCACGTCACAAGGAGGAGGAGAAGCGGCACCGCAGAGTAGAAGAGATGCCGGGACATGTTGGGCCTCTGCAGCTCACTCTCTCTTCCTTCCCTCCTCCTTCCGCTGGATCCGGTCACGCGGCGACGGTTGTGTGTGCGGGGTGCCTTCACAGCAGCAACACGTGAGAGCATGTAAATATGTGTGTGTGGGCGGTGTGTGTGCTGTTGGTCCTTTCAGTGCCTTCAAATTTCACAGTAGCGATTAGCGTTTAGTCGTAACTTCCTTCTTGAAGGAAAGCAATAAAAAAACGGCGGAAAAAAGGCAACACAATGGTAATACACACCGCCACCACTCAAAGCGAAGCACAACATCAACATCCCCGCAGCCATTACCCCCCAGCGCTTCTCAACAGCACACAAAAATTAAGGAAAAAATTTGGGCAGCCTCCCAATGAGGGCCGCGGGCAATGGCCCTGCAAAAAAGACAGATGAGAGGGGGCCACGTGTGCAGTGAGGAAAACGAGAGCTGCACTGCAACGACACGGCGACGTGATGCCCCGTTGGGAGCATCGAAGCAGACCAGCATGTCACGTGCAGGAAGAGTTGCTTCTCCCGCTGAGCAGAGAAGAAAAACGGCCTCAGCAGCCCAATGATGAGAGGTCGCCTGCACCTCCTCGCGGCACCTGCAAGCTCTGCAGGCACGCAGATGACGCTCTCCTGCACTTATGACAGCCGTCACATCCTTCACTACGGCAACCGCATCCTCTGGCACCACACGCCGCAGTCGATGTGCACGGTCTCCGTCTCCCTCCCTCCTGTCCCTCTCCCTGAGAACTCATCGGTGGCCGTGGCACACTCACCAACATGTCAGAAATCACTTGTTTTTCTTCTTTCCCTGCAAATCGCACGGCAGCACCGCCAAACGCAGTTCGCTCCTCCTTTCGCGGATTCTCTTCACACAAACCTCACGCCACTGCCCTCCACCCGGCTCTGCTCATGCTGCCCTCTTCGGGGTAGTCGCAGCAAACTCATTTTCATTATTGTCTTCAAACAGCATTTTGGTGCCGTCTTAACAAGCCTCAAAAAAACCACTCAGAAATAGTCATCCCTGTTAAACGCCTGTTACACAACCATAGAAGCCCTTATCAGCAATCTATTCCTTTTTTGTTTTTCTTTCTTTTAACCGGAAAAAGGATTTGCTCACAAAAACACAAATGTTGTGCGTGAAGAAATGCCCGACGCAGAAGCGAAGGTGAGGTATTAGAAAAATCCCTTTATTGGTGCTGTCTTTCACCCGAACAAGACGTTTTTTTTTTTTTTTTTTCGTTTTTTTCTTTCGTGGGGACGTCAAACAATTTTTAACAAAAGCGTCCACGCCATTTAACCATCCATTGTTGTTATCCCACCCGCTTCTCTCGGGCCACATCGCTCAACACACCGCCAGGGTGGCTCCCGAGGCTCACACCAATTTACCCCACAGAGCAGACGTCTTCTACGCGGGAAAGTCTGCTCACAATGGCGATGCGATAAGTCAGTCAGATTTGTTGCACGTTTTTCAACAAAACTCCTTCCACCCACTCTCTCTCTCTCTCTTCCAATACGAGTTCCCATTCTCCCCTCACTACAGAGGCACACCTTGTGCATTTCTTACCTTCTTCCCATCGTGGTCTGTGGACATTACGCCCAGGCCGCAGTCCATAAAAGTGACGTTCTCAAACAACTAGCCATGAAAGACGGAGAAAATATTCTCTTTTTGATTACTGTTTTTTTTTTTTTTTTCGAACCATAAAATTTTCTCACGGCCACAAAACACAGTGAAAATTTAGAAACACGGAAAAACAGACATACCGCTGAAGAATTTTGCATAAATATTATTTTCGCTGCAGTGCCGTCCATGGAGTCACATGTCATCCCTTTTCCTACCGGGAAAAAATGAGACGAGCAATAAAACCGGAGACAGCTTCCTGGCCGTACGGAACGTACGAAAGAGAATACCATATTAAACATCCGTATTGTAGCAAACCGCAGAGGCTACAAAGGAGGGCGGACTTATAGGCGATAGCGACAATCCAAGTGATAATCAAGGAGCTAATGTAGAGCAGGGAAGAAGTGCGGCGGTACTCATCAAACATGTAATTAAGTTGCGCGCGGGGACCCATAAGTATAAAAGTACTCGCCAAAGACATGAGAGACCCCAAGGTAGATAAAACCGAGTACTTCCAATAGTACCCAATGCCCAAGGAGACCCAACCCATAAATGAAGAGAAAAATCCCAATGCCGTGAAGAGTACGTAACCCTGAATCCGTGAGGACCACGAAAGCCCCTGAAAACATTGTTCATCATTGTCGTTTACAACTTCCTGATCCACCACCTCCACGGGTATCGTCATGGGTCCAAACTTTTACCCTACCCAGACTTGTTTGTGTTATATACGTTGATACTGAATCTTCACCTCTCTGTGTGTTTCAGTTATTATAATAATAATAATTCTTATAACAATTATTATTAGTTTTTCCATCACAAAAAGACAGTTTCATCCAAATTAAGAAACAGAACCGGCGGCAGAAACAAAACCACATACACACGCACACACACACACGTTAATCGGCACATGTGTTAGAGAAAGGCTTTTTCTCCACTAAAGAAACATTCGTAATTCCCCTTCAGGCGTTCACGGTGTGTGGGGGAGATTAAATGAGAATTATGGGCAATTTGAATTTCACGCATCCATGAGGGAGAAAAGAGAATACAACAATAATAATAAAAATTCGTAGTAATCACAGGGCTGCCATATGCCCACGAATAAATAACCTCACGTTAGCACACACTGTTTTTGTTTTTTTGCCAATATGAGGATTGCGGTATTTCGCGGGAACAGCAAACAGAACAAAACTTACATATGCCTCTGTACCAAAAAAGTAAAAAAAAAAGAAATAATATCAAATACAAACACACACGACAAGTAAGAAACGGGTTAAGGAACCGGCCAGCCGTCCACGCAAATATTTTGTTTGAATATCTAAAGAAACCAAGCAAGACGGGAGAAAAGGGCAAACGGAGGGGCAGTGGGTTCGCAATCCACTCAGTGCTTGCTCCAACCACATATATTACATTTATATACATATTTGGACTGCCACCATCGTGACACGCTGCACGTTGTTGGGGTTAGAAACACCATGGCTTACGAAGTGGCAGACTTCGGAGTCCTGCAGCCACAAGACACCGCCGCGTGGTGGGAAATCAAAAAGGGGTTGGCTGTGAAGGTAAAATTAATAATAAATAAATAATTTTGTCCTACCGCCATCGGCACCCTGATTGCGTCCATCGCGGTCATCCAATCCACCACAAGACAGTGAAAAAGTACCGCACAGAAATGTCTTCGTTTTATCAGGATGCATATTAATTTAGGCAGCCAGCCCTCGTCGCAAGCATCCTGGTCACAAGCACCCAAGAATTACCGGCAAAAAATAAGGCCAAAGAGTGCGGTTCCCATCGATGTCAGTCCGTTGGCAGGATTTTCTTTAACACCGTTTTTGTACGCTGTCCTTTTCGGTTTGTGTGTGTGCCACCAGTCGGGCAAAAAAAAAAAAAAAAAAGAAAAGAAAAGAAAAGAATGCAGTTGTCATCCTGCGCTCCGAGGCAACATGCACGTACACAAAAAAGAAAAAAAGATATGAAATCCCAAAAGAAAAAAAATATATTTATATTAATTAGTAATAACAAATTAACACTGCAGAGAAATACTCACAAGGTGAAGACGGGAAAAATAAAAAAAAATAAAATAAAATAAATTATTATTATTATCATCATTATTACCATTCCTATGATCAGCATCCCACAATTATATTTATATTTATTTATTCTCTCTTAGTTATATAAAAATTTCTGTCTGGATACAATAAAAAAGACATGTAGAAGCCTTTTCGTGTATAAAATGTGGAGAGAGGGAAAAGACACATATATATCTATAGAGAGAGAGAGAGAGAGATGGAAAAAATAAAATAAAATAAAATAAAATAAAAACTCTCTGGGACGGTAAACAAAAATTTAAAAAATGTATGCCCCCTCCCCTCCAAATCCAAAAAAAAGGGCATCCCACTGTGACTCTATAAGCGTGTCTGTATCTTTTGTATCTTCTCTCTCCTTCATTTCCTCACAAACAATACCCTGTCTTTCTTTTTTTTTGTTTTTTTGTTTTTGTTTTTGGGGTGGATTCTATTTTCTCTTCATGCCTCTATTGCGTTTCGCCAATCTTCACCGGATAAATAAGTTCCACGACTTTGTCCCACGTCATTGCATGCGTGCATTCTTCTAAAGTGCCATGTTCAGCGTGAGTGCATAAGACTATGTCTGCAACACGCAACTCAGTCTCCACAGTGGCACCGCCCTCGTCCGTAATGAGTTTGGCAGTGTTGTAATGCCTGGAAGAAATGAATCCCTCGGTAAATCCAATGCGTTTTTGGAAGAGCGGAGGACGCTCGTGACGAAAGCCATAGGCGCTCTCATCAAGCCACCGTTGATCCCGCACCGAGTCACGCACGTAAACATCTGGCAATATCCAACACCCACGCACCAGAGCTGTGAGTAATTTGATAGTTAGCTGACCATTTGTGATCAGGTGCGTCAAATTGGAGGGAACTGGTGTGTTTGACCGACACTCAGCAACTGTTGCATGGGGCAGCTGCTTAATTTCAGTCAACAACTCCGATGCATCAAATCCACTGATGGTAAAAACACGTGGTTCGACTGATCGGCTCTTCTTTCTCGGGTGCGTTGTCAAGGATAGTGGCACATTCACCGATGATGCACTCCGAAGTCTTTTTTCCACGCCATTTTGTCTTTGTGGAGTGGGAGACGTGGAGACATTTCGTAGTGAACGGCGTAGCTCCTCATCCAGACGTTTTTCCAGCAGCGTGCACCGATTTGTCGCGGCCGTCAGCTCAATATCAAGATTTTCCACCTTCTTGCACATGGAAAGATACTTTCCCCTGTATTCCTCCGCAATCTCATCCAAGTGCTTCTTTTCACGGGTGAGTTGCTGCATGGCGTCTGCATCATATCGTGCCTCCTCCAACTTTGTTCGCAGCCCAGAGATTACACCTCTGCACTCTGTCTCATGCCTCATTTTCTCTTGCGCGGTAGATGAAAGCTCACCCCTCACACGCACAAGTTCTTCTTGGGTGGTAGCAAGCTGATCCTTTAGTTCTCGCAAGTCCTTTGCGTAATCAGCATCCGATGTGTCTTGTTGCTCCATGAGCCGTTGAACCCGTTCTTCGGCGTGGGCCAGAGCCTCCTGTGCCGCCTCTGCCTCTTTTGAAAGGGATATATTTTCTTGCTCCATTCTTAACGCGGTGTCCTTTGCCGTGGCAAGCTCCTTCTCCAAGTGACTGATGTGCTTCTCCCGTTGAGCAAGAATGGTGGTCACGGTGGAGAGTTCTTCGGACGTCCTCGTAAGTTGACGCTTCAAAGAGGAGCGCTCTTCCTCCATCGATAGCCGGCCCCCCTTCGCCTCACGCAGAAGCGATTCCGTCTGCAGTTGTTGTTGGCAGAGGGCAAGACGATGCTCATCAAGAAGTCGTTTAATTTCCTTTTGGTGATCCAAGCCTTGCTGCTTCAACTCCTCCTCCGCAATCTGGCACCGATGACGCAACGACGAAAGATCGTCAATGAGGGCACGGGATTTCTCCTTTTGTGCCTGCAATTCATCTCGAAGGTCCTTTACCATTTCATCCTTCGACTCAGTAATCTGGCGTACGCGTTCATCGCTTAGCGTCATGTGAGAGTTCAACACCTCCGCGTGTGATTTTTCAGTCTCCTTCACAAACTCCGCATGCATCTTCTCCAGCTCGATGCAGCGTCTGGAATATTCTTCTACAGCGCGCCTGGAGTCATCGTACTTTTCCTGAATGCCCTTCAGTTGTCCACGCAATTCCTCATTTTCCTTGTAGAACTGCATACGCTCCCGATCTAATTGGATGCTTCTTGCCTCTAGTTCCTCTATTTCCTCTGAAAGTTTGGCCACATCACCCCGCAAGGTCTCGCTGCGCGAGTTACACTCTAATTCTGTCCGCTCAGCCATCTCCGCAAGACGCCGGGTGTGTTCTGCCTCCACATCATCAAGCTTTTGCTTTAAAAATTGTGTTTCCGCCCTCCGCTTTTCCATAACATCGTTTAATTGTGTTTCAAGCGTTTGCCGCTCTCTCGTCTCACGATCCGCTCGACTGTTTGCCCCATCCAACTCCTCCCTCATCGTTTTCACGTAATCCCGCACAGTTTTTAGCTCCTCCCGCGCCTGCGTCAGTTCAAATCGTGCGATCTCCAGGTCACGCTGGACATTCGACCACTTGAGACGCTCGCGCGTCATTTGGCTCACGCGTGCGCGTAACTCATCAAGCTCCTGGAAAGAAGCAAAGGCCGAGTTTGCCATTGAAAGACGACAGGAGAGACGCTGCGAAGGGCAATGCATTGGTCGCAAAGAATTTATACTGAACGGTGTCCTCGTCAATTCAATTTCAGGGTCTGCCGTCTTTTTTGATGCACTTTTAGGCTCCTCCTGTTTTCCATCATTCTGAAGATGCGCCTTCTCGCCGGTCTCTGGGATCGGGTCCGAGATGTGAATGCTCTTCTGCAGCCACAGACTGTCGTTGTCGTCAGCGCTCATGGAGCTTCGCTCAAAGAGTCAAAATTAGTAAAAAGAGAAACGGGTGATTCTTGCTGTGTTTCTGTGTGTGTGTGGGAGAGAGAGAGTGCGTGTGAGTGAAAAGAGCAAAAAAAAAAAAAATTATGGGGTAAATTCGTTCCGTCTGCCCCCGACAAAAGTTAAACAACAACGACAGTAAATAAACACACAAAAAAAGAAAAAAACTGAAAAGAGACCAAACGCCACGTTTTTATTCGCCCCACACGCCCCCAATGACGGATGAAGTACCCCACTCACTGTTACCGACAGTCGGACAGGAACCCCCGCCCCTTCTCTCAGCTCTGGCGCCGGGCCATTCAATGAACTCGCCAGAAGGGAAAAACCCTGGAAGGCGAAGAAACAAAACTTTTATCCGCTTATATAATATATACACATATATAGGCAGACCATTAAAAAAAAGAAGGAGAAAAACCGCCGATGCGGCCCTCCCTCATTCCTCAAAATTCCAGCGCTGTGTGTCTGCCCATAGAAGACCACTACAAGATGAATCCAAGAGAACGGAAAAAAGTACCATGGCGCGGGCAACTGCTCCCGCTCAAATCCTCTTCAGCATGCCCCTATTACAGAAAAAAAAGAAAAAAAAAAGAGGGTGATTGTGCACCAACAAATACAGCAGTCATAGGCGGATCCCCACTCCCCACTCCCCATGCCGCTGACACAATTTCACCATCAGAGGCATACACGCACCCACCCACACACAAAAGCTCATGGCCCCATTTTGTTGTGTTCGTTTGTTTTCTGTTTTCTGTTTGTTTTTGTTTTTCTTTGTTTTTGTTTTTGCCTCTTCCTCTTTTATTTCCCTTTTATTTCCCCCTCTCTTTTTTTTTCTTTTCTTTTTCCTTTTCTTTGGTTTATATATTGAACAAAAATAAATAAATAAATAAAAGGAAGGGAGGCGGATTAAAAACAAATAAATGTCCCTCGTCCCCCGTCTCATGAAAAGGAATGGGAAAACTGCTCAATTAGTCTCGAAAACAGCCAAAGTTGAGAGTCCTCCACGGGGGTGGAGATGCCACCTCGCATCAACTCATGTACTTTCGTGATCTGCTCCTCCTCCGTTGCATCAACGACAACCGCGGCGGGGACACAAAATGTTACTCCGTACTTCTTTAGGGCTGCAGGGTTATTCTGCACCTCATCAATGATGGCCCTCCATGCCTTCAGATCGCCCTGACAAACAACACGTACATACTGGCTTTCAGCCCTGCGTTGTTGCTGTTCCCTCTCTTTTATAAAAATAGGTAAAATTTCATCGGAAGCATCAAAATCAACTAAAAAACTCGTACGGTCTTCGTATGGTGCAAAAATATCCTTTGAGAAATGCGTCGGAGAAAATTTGTCCTTTTCCCTCGAAAGGTCCTGCGATCCCGCACCGGTAACCTCAATTTTCTTAATGCTCTCCATACGACGAATTCGTCCGCATTGGTTTACAGATTTATCCCCTAAAAGTCGAAGAAACTCGGCCACATTAGCAGATGTTACCTTCACATGGATACCGTTGGGGATAAGCTCCACAAGTCTACCGTTCCGTGGCACACTAAACGTCAAGTTCAGTTGTGCAATCTGTAAGCCCGTCACTTGTCCTCGCTTTAGCCCCTCAACCTTGGCGCAAAAGTCGGCATCTGAAGAACATAACTCAGCAGAGCTGAAATCGCCAATGTCTGCCTTGGCCACCGATGTATCCGATGCCGATGGGAACATCAAGGTCCCAGGACTCATCAGACCTCCGTCCATTACGCCTGGGGAAGAAATGGGTCGTTCCTTGTCATGCTGTGAGTTGTCTGGCAAAATAGGAACTGAGGCGCTCTTGACACGCTGCGATGTTACGAAGGGTGCAGTCTCCGCTTCGGGTTTATTCCTATTCGCCTCATTCGTTCTGGCATTGCGGTAGCGTTGAACACACTCCAAGTACTTGGGGAGGTCATTGTACTGCACGTTGATCGCCGAGCCATTCTCAACGAGTTCCTGAATTGTTCCGTCAGGCAGCGGAGCCACCCACTTCAGCTCGGCCTTTTCAAAGTCACTTCGACTGTAAGTAACGAGTTCGTCCAGAAACCCAAAGAAGTCTCGATTCGACGTTGGTGACAAAAGAATATTGGGCCGAGCATGAGCATGGCTCTTTCCTTCCTCTTTTGCAGTATCCTCTGCAACGAGCGTCGACAAGAAAGACTTCTTCCGTTCCGCTCTGGATCGCCCCAACGTACTGTTGCTTGCTCGATGGAACTGATCCGCAAGAGTATCCATGGCGGCTTGGCCCACATTGATGTCAAATGCCTCGCCAAATGTGGCCAAACAGACCGCCATCTTTCCCACAACCGCACGGACCTCACCCTGCTCAAAGGGCGATAGTGACGTTTCATTGTTGTATGCAAGATTAGACAATTCCCCCATGCAGGACATCATCTGCATCAAAGAATGTAAAACAGCCCGGTTGTTTGGAAGAATGCCCAATAACTCCAAAAGTTTACGGTTCTCAAGAGCAATGTCCTCAAATGTGGGTGCACAAGCAGACAAAATCTCCTTCGAGCACATTCCTAATTCTTGTTCTGAACTGACTGGCGAGACAAGTAAAAAAAAAAAATGGAAAAAAATAAAAAAATAAAAATAAAGTTAAAATCATCACGGCGTGGCAAATATTGCAAAGTCCTCACTCTCATGCATGCGCAGAAGGAGAAGAAAAGAGAAAGAAAAAGAAAAGAGCATTTGTGAGCACATAAAAAAAAAAAGAAAATTAAAAAAAAAAAGCAACGCAAATAAACACATAAACATGCAAATATATAAATAAATACAAAATATAAATATATATATATATATACCGAATCAAATAAAAACAGTTTTTCCGGCTTCTCTAAGGGGGTATCGGTGATCCTATTGCCACGTTCCAGTAGCGCTTGACAAAGGCATCTATTACTTCAGATGTATCAGAGGAATTAAGCCTGAGACCACTCAATTTACACCGCCTCTCTGGCACCTTCTTCTTATCCAACGGCACCATGGATGATGAAGAAAAGGTATCCAATAGAGAAAAAAGCTCTGCAACAAGAGGAGAAACACTGGCTTGTATATCTTCTGAGCATCGATGATATGCAGTCGAGCGTGCTACAACCAACAGCTGTAAAATATCCTCTTGGGCTTTTAGCTCCCCCTCCAAATGAGGCATCACGGAGGAGTTGTGATGCATCACCGATTGCATGGTCGTTGCAAAAAATAAATGGTTCCCATGAGGAAGGCACGTGCACACCAACTGTATGCAGTAACGACACACGTCTGTAAGCGATGAAAGTAACAAGGCCTCGGAAGCAGATTGAGGCGACGTCGCAACCACGGCAACAAACACCTCATTGACATTTTTCAGCAACGTCTGAAGATCCAGAACCAAACTTGAATCTGACAACACCGCTCGCACACCACCATGACTTTCCACCCAATCTCGTACACACTGGCGGAGTTTGAAGGCCAAACGTGGGACCTGCAGGAACGGAAAGGCCGACACGTGTTTGAATGTCTGCACAAACTCCAAAAAAGGAAAAATAGAAACCAAATTACGATGAGTATTAACAAACCCATCGTTCCAAACAGAACTCCCCTGTGGGTCACCTCCCATCCCGTCACTCGCCACTCGATTCGGCATGCTGCCAGAGTCACTCCGACAGAGAAGACTCTGCAAAATAACAGACGCTTCGTACCATCGAGGCACATCATCATTCATGATGCGCTCAAGAACCAACACAACTTCCTCCAGTCGCTCCGAGTGGGCAGAGGAGAGAACGTCGCATACATTGGGACCCGCCCCCACCGAATCCCCAATAGAATGCCTCGAGACTGGGGCAGCAGCAAAATCATCGGCTGGCAAACATGTCGCAGCCGCAGCATCGTCTCTCACAGGCACACCAGAAACTAAATGACTCCCAGACGGCACCGAAACTGGGGGAGAAGAAAAAAGCTCATCCAACAAGTCCATTGACCGCGGTGGAGTTGGTACCCGCGATGGCGGACACAAACCTGCAGGTACACCGCTGCACCCTCCGCGCGCCGTCGCGCAGGAAACGTCCTCAGATGCATACGTCGAGCAACTCCTCATCACCGCAGTAAAATAAAAATAAAAAATGAAATAAATTCTAAAAAGCTTAATAAAAAAGAAAAGAAATTAAAGCAGAATAATCCTCTGGGCCGCTCGCCGGATCCTGAGTGTATCAACGGTAGAAAACAAACCAGATAGGAATACGAAAGGATGAGCGGGACAAGAGTGGATTCACCACACCCTCAAAGCTTAACACCAGGTAAGTGTATATATGTATATAAATATCGTCCGTTAGCCACAATTGTGGGCCGCTCACTCTATTCGGATGGGATATGTAGATACAGACCTGCGAGGCGGCAGACTTCGGAGTCCTGCAGCCACAAAACACCGCCGCGTGGTGGGAAATCAAAAGGGAGTTGGCTGTGAAGGCAAAATTAATAATAAATAAACACTTTTGTCCTACCGCCATCGGCACCCTGATTGCGTCCATCGCGGTCATCCAATCGACCACAAGACAGAGAAAAAGTACCGCACAGAAATGTCTTCGTTTTATCAGGATGCATATTCATTTAGGCAGCCAGCCCTCGTCACAAGCATCCTGGTCACAAGCACCTATTCTTCGGCTCGTCCAAACACTTCATTTACCGCCCATCACACAACACACACAATAGGAGAAGCGAAGGATCATTACACAAAGCCAAGGCAAATAAATAAACAATAATGAGAAATCGCAGCCCACACGGGGCCCTCGCACACGCACACAAACGCCCTCACGGCATTCCTCAGAAGAAGTCAAGCAGATTGGTACTCGTAAACCATCAAAAAGAAAAAAGGTGTGTGATGCCTCGACATCGGCAGCCAGCACAGGAGAGGCAGAGTGTATAGAGCATGTCCCTGGCATAAAGTGTACAGACAAACAGAAAGTATATATAGAGCGAGGCATATCAATTGGCATGGATTGTTTCTCTCTTGCATCCACTGCTGAGCGCAATCCACGCAGGAGGCAACAGCAGTCGCCTCACCGTGCGACGGGATCCATGCCGCCGCTCAGCAGAGTGGTGTCACGGCGGCGGCAGCGGCAAGCAGAAGAAGCAGCGGACAGGGACAAGCTGCAGCAGCAGCGTCATTGCCGTGGATCGGAGGCGGGGCGTCCGTCAGGTCCCTCTCCCAATCCCCGCGCCCCACCGCCGCATCATCATCGCTCTGCGGAGGGTCCACGGCGCCCTGCGCGGCATCAGCGGCATCAGGGCCCTTGGGTCCCGTGGTTGTGGCACCCCCACCGGCCCTGTCGCTGGCGGCCTCATCTCCTGCTGGTTGTCCCACAACAGACGTCACACCATCGGCGGCAACATCGTCGTTGCACGGAAGACCGCTCTTCTTCAAAGCCTCCTGCGGCGCACCCGCGGTGTCGCTGGGCGAGATCACCCCGTCGCCTGTCGGAGCATCTGGGGCAACTGCCTCTCCTCGGGCGACGGATTCTTCTGGGGTGCAGCCGAGTCGACATCCTTCGGTGGGGTGCCGCGGCCGGGATCAATGCTCTCCGCAACGGGGACGGATGCCCCCTCGCAATCCTTGTCCAGTAATTGCCAGTGGGACCGTCCTGCTCCACGCCCTCGCCTCGCCGTCCCACGGAACCACCGGAAGGAGAGTGCCGGCGGCGGCGGATATCGCGCACACCTGCGCGTGGCCACGGCAAGCAACGCTTCCCTCATCGTACGGTCGAGTGGCCCACGCAATCGTCGCCCCGTCCGTGCATGGGACCCAACGGACGCCGCCCTTTTCGACCACTCTAAGACGCACCTGCATGACAAGGCACCCCAATGCCGCATGCATGGCAGCACTCAGATACGTCTCCTCCGGGTCCCTCGCATCTGTCGTGTTCGTGGGAGGCGTGTCCGGACACCACGAAGAGGGCCTATCCCCGGGCACCGCAAACAAACATTCTCCCCGCCAAATAACACCGTCAGCACCCCTCACATCCAGTGCGGGATCAATGATGGGGCAGCTGTCCATCGGGCGCTTTGCTGACATTTTATGCACACTCCCAAACACCAGCCACTGGAATACCGATCCGACGCGCAGCATTCGACGGGAACGCCCAATTCGCACAGCATGCGAAGATACTCACCCATGTTCAGTGCGGAGCAGTTCCTCTGCTGCTGCAGCGCACAACCCGAATCCCCGCACCAACGCGTCGGCTCCGCCATCTCCCGCTTCACCCTCATGCAGCCCAGGACAGCCAATGCAGCCAGCGTCAGCTCCGTGCAGTCGCCGGCACCCCAATCGCTGCCATCCACTCATCCCTCGCATGGCACCGCGACCGGTGCGACTCCAGCGTCCTCCCGTCCCCATCGCCATCCTGCTGCTCCACGCCATCAACGTCGTCGCAGTCGTGGTGCTCCCTCTCTGCCATCGCGGCAGTCGTCGAGTGCACCACCACCAACAGCGCCCCGCCACGCACACAGGCAGCATTCCTCACCATGCCGCGGCCTGCCATGTGCGGGCAGGTAAACCCGACAGCATGGGCCATCAGGTGCGCGGCGAGGCGGGTGGCGAGGCGTCCGTGAAACAAAGCGGCCGGGCAATGTTCATGGCGCCAGCGACGGGACAGGCATCCTCCAGCGTAGCGCACGGCAGTGCCCACACACCACCCGGCGCAGCAGCCACGTACTGCACTGTGTCAGAATTGGCAGCGCCAGCCGAACAATGCTCAGCAGGCACAGTGAACCAACTGCAAACACTGCCCGTGGTGAGTGACGGCAAAATCAACGAACCCTCCAGTGGCTGCACGAGCAGACGATCCGCATGCAGTTTGACAGCAGCAGGGACAACCTCGGCAACAGCGTTCCCGTGCGCAGACGACACAACACCATTCCTGCAGCCAAACGCGCCGTCCAATGCATTCGCTGTGCAACACCAGGAGAAGCCGCAGTGCCTCCTGCTGCCACACGGGTCCGTCGTTGGCGCCTTGATGCGGACGGGCACCCATCGGTCCCTCCAAACGACGCTGCACGCCCGCAACGCATCATGCGCTCCGAGAGGCACGTCTCCCACCACACCCGGGGACGCCCACACGCCGTCGGCACGCACCGCATCGTCAAGGAAGCAGGGATACGTCAGGATGACAGCGGGACACCCGCCGGCAATTCACATCGCAGGCATCATCACAAGCAGCAGCAGCACTGCAGGCCGCGGGGCGACGTGGATCAACCGACGCATGGCGCATGTGGAAGAAAAAACGTAATGGCCTGACGAGGATGCAAGAGGCTGACACCTCTACAAAAAGAAAGAAACGGTATGAGAACACAAAGAAGAGATTTAAACGCCCGCAGTCAATGCAAGCCACTGATAAAACGGTGGAATGAGTGCACTCAACCACAACACGAGCAGAGACTCAACGAAGAAAACAAAAAACAAAAAGCAAAAAAGAAAAATAAAAAAACAAGAAGCCGAAGCGTGGGACGACCGAAGCACACACACTCTCATTGCTCCCGTAAAGCAAAACACACACACACAGGGAGAGAGAGAGAGGTCGCCCACTCAAAGCAATGGAAAATAAATAAAAAACGAAAAAAAACTGTTACGATGCTCCACCATGCAGCCAAGCAGGACGGCAGCGGTGCGTGTGGCTCAAAAGAGAGAACCAACGGGCCTGCATGGGTGTGCATGCATAAATAAGTAAAAAAATTAAGTGTGTGCTTATTAGGCTGAGGTGAGGGCGAGAGTCCATGCAAAGGGACACACACACAGAGAGAAGGACGAGTGTGTGTGCGGGCGGTGCACGGCTCTCTCTCCCTCACTCTCACGCGGCCACCACCGCAGCAGCAGCCGCACACGCAACAAGAAAAAGCAGAAGAGGGGAGGTGGAGTGGAAGGCCGCGGTGCTGCCGTCACTCTCGTCAGGCGTCCTCGTGGCACCTGTTTGAGCGGCGGTGACTGTTGCTGGTGTTGGTGTTTCTGTTACGTTCCCTTGCGGCGGTTGTGATTCCTGTGGGCCTGCGTCTGTTTTTTCCGATTCATCCAAACCATTTTTCTCCGAACTGTTGTCCCGCCCCCCAGAAGAACCATCGGCAGTTGGTGTTGGTGTTGGTGTTCCTCCCGCCGGCAACGGCGACTGCGGCGGTGACTGCTGCGGTGGTTGTAGTTCTGTCTCCGTGCCGGGGGCTTCTGGTCCACCCGGTGCCGCTGGCTTCGGCAAATCTTCCGATACCGTTGATGGTTGTGTTGGCGTTGTTTCTCCCTCTACAGAATTTTTTAATTCTTTTTTACCTTCATCTTCTTTCGAACGACCCGAGCCACGCAAATCATTTCCCTCCGAACTGTTGTCCTGCCCCTCAGAGGAATCACCGGCATTTAATTCGTCACTCCCAGTCCCGCTCTGAGTGTTACTCTTCTGTGAGGTAGTTTCTTCGAGTTCACTTGCATTTCTTTTCTCTTTGCAAAGAAAGAGGCTGCTGTTGAGCCTGCAGTATGTGCCGTTTGCTCCGTAATGTTGTTCATTCAACGATTCGTTTCCGTTGAAATCCCACGCGTAGCCACCGCAGGCACCGCACCACAGCACGCAGAGGGCACACACCAGCAGCACACGGCCAGCCATCATCATCGCCATCACTCCTGTCAATTGCGTGTAGCCTTCAGCACAGACTAACAACACGTCAACGCAGAGTGAAAGCAAAAGGAGAGACACGGCCGCTACACCACGCACAGCCACCGCACAGTCACAAATGGCAGCAGCCCAGCAGCGGCAGCGCACACACACCATGAGACAGTTAAAACCAGCGAAGGGGAAAAACACACAACGCCCCGCAGCAAGTAAGCAGAAAAATACCCACAAAACGCTTAAAAACAAAACACAGGTAAAAGAACAGCAATGAAGTAAAACATAAAAACACACAAAACAAAGGACTGCACAGTATGGCTCCAGCGCGCACGCACCCATCCTCAAACGTGACTCCACGCAAACAGTTGTGTGCGTGCCATGCACATGAGTGTGTCTGGGATGCGTTCAACGTGATGGACGCGGGGAGCGGCAAGGAGCACACAGCAGGGCAGCGAATGCAAATAAAAACAGTAAAACACAGTCATTATTTTTTTCGTGTTTATTACTTAGGAAAACAATAGACGCGCACAAGTCCCCGCGGCTGAGTGCTGGCACGCACAGCCCACACAGAATTCTCAGCCCAGAGCGGCGTACGCAAGCGCAGCCAGAGCGAGCAGCAGCGGGGCATGCAGACGGGTGTCATGGAAGCAGGCGTCACTTCCGACGCTGCTCTCCAGCGCCTTCGTTGTGGGCGCAGAGGAAAGTGGAGCCAGCATGCCTGCCGCCGTAGAATTTCCCTCGCAGGTGGCCGTGTCGGTGGTGTTGGTATTGTCGTCGTGCGTCACCGCGGCAGCAGACGGCGGGGTGCCGTTGGGAGTCCCCTCCGCTGCGGAGTTTTCGCCCGGACCGCTGGCAGCAGCCTGGCCGCCTGGGGATGGGGATGTTGGCTCAGCGTCACCCCATGCTGTTGTGCTCCGCGTGGCATCTGATGCGGCTGCCGTTCCTGGCTCTGGTGAACCGTCGCCCGTAACGCCTTGTTTTCCTGCCGCCGGCAACTGTGACTGCAGCTGCTGCGCCGATTGTGGTTCTGTTGTCACACCGGAGGTCGCTGGTTCACCGGGTTCCGCTGACCTCGGCAAATTTATCGGCCCTGTTGGTGCTGGTGCTGGTGGTAGTGGTGACGGAGGCGCTCCTCCCTGCTGGTTTAATTCTTCTGCTTTACCTTCATCTTCTTTCGAACGACCCGATCCACTTCCCTCCGAACCGTGGGCCAGCCTCCCAGCAGAATCACCGCCACTCGGTTCACCACTTCCTTCCCCTCCCAGACCAGCAATTGATTGAGCACTCGCCTCCTCTCCCGACTCGGCATTTCCCCCTGTGACAGAGCCTCCCGCTGCATTTTGTGGAGACTTTTCCCCAGTTGTTTTACTGCAAAAAAACGTCGGGAAGGGCTTTACAGTATTTACCGTTTGCCCCCTAATAATATGCGTGCAACTCATCGTTAAAAAACAGCGCGTAGCCACCGCTGACACCGCACCAAAGCACGCGGAGGGCACACACCAGCAGCACACGGCCAGTCATCGTCATCGCCATCACGGCTGCACACACACACACACTGGTGCTAAGCCTAATGAGTAAAGGCAAACATGTGTATATTTAAACACACGGCTATAGACGTCTGCGCAACCAAATGTTTTTGCACACGGTCATACATGTAAAATGAGCAATCCAAATAAACTCATACAATGAAGCAAAGAGAGAAACAGAAGGGAAACGCATGTATGTGTACATGTGTTGTTGTTGTTGTTGTTGTTGCAGTGGTTGCCCCCGCAAAAAAGCGCATAAACAAAAATAATTAGGAGCCGCCGTGTTAAATTGGAGGACCCATGAAAATAAAATAAAAAGTAAGAAAAGGGCAAGTGTCGCCGCAAAACATGATGCTCAAAGGAAAGAGACACGCCACATCTAGCAGAGCAAAAAGAAGAAAAAGGGGGGAGGGGGGACATTGACGGGTAAACACACACATAAAGAGAGAAAAAAGCATCGGCTACTCGGAGAAAAAAAGAGGAGATGAAATCCCCCTTCTCAACTATAAATTCTCTGCCGCATCAACCGTGCTTGCCGACGCGGCTGAGAGCTGCGAAAGGGACAGAAGACCATCGTCAAAGCGCAGCTGTACAACGCAATCTGCCTCCCTCTCATCAACCTCATTCTCTTCCGCATTGTCATTGGCGTCATTAGGGCAAAGAATAGGCGGTGAGAAGCCTATAAAATTTCCAATTTGCGTTGTGGCCAGGCCGCTCCTATCACTTGTGCTGTGTGTGTTGCGTGGACGGCTGAGACTCGCCCCTTGGCTTGATGTCGCCACCTCCTCCGAGCCACTCTTTAGCGTTTCGCCATTGGCAATGGCCCTCCCTGAACAAATCCATTCTCTCTGCGGGGCAGAAGAGATATTAGGGGTGGTCAGGTCAGGTGCACTTGTAATGCGTTCCGTGGAATGGGAAGAACTAACCGTTACAAAACTCCCATCCGAAAGAGAACGACTGCAAGCAGCAGTAGCAACCCACTTGCAAGTAGCACTATTGCTGCTGTTGATACTATTCTGACTACTACCGCCCCCACCACTTCTGTTGTTTGTTTGCTGCTTCTGTTGAGGTTGCGGCTGTCGTCT